AACTTTGGAATTAGAAGAACTTAGTCTGGTTGTATAAGCAACTTTGGAATTAGAAGAACTTAGTCTGGTTGTATAAGCAACTTTGGAATTAGAAGAACTTAGTCTGGTTGTATAAGCAACTTATGGAATTAGAAGAACTTAGTCTGGTTGTATAAGCAACTTTGGAATTAGAAGAACTTAGTCTGGTTGTATAAGCAACTTATGGAATTAGAAGAACTTAGTCTGGTTGTATAAGCAACTTTGGAATTAGAAGAACTTAGTCTGGTTGTATAAGCAACTTTGGAATTAGAAGAACTTAGTCTGGTTGTATAAGCAACTTTGGAATTAGAAGAACTTAGTCTGGTTGTATAAGCAACTATGGAATTAGAAGAACTTAGTCTGGTTGTATAAGCAACTTTGGAATTAGAAGAACTTAGTCTGGTTGTATAAGCAACTTTGGAATTAGAAGAACTTAGTCTGGTTGTATAAGCAACTTTGGAATTAGAAGAACTTAGTCTGGTTGTATAAGCAACTTTGGAATTAGAAGAACTTAATCTGGTTGTATAAGCAACTTTGGAATTAGAAGAACTTAGTCTGGTTGTATAAGCAACTTTGGAATTAGAAGAACTTAGTCTGGTTGTATAAGCAACTTATGGAATTAGAAGAACTTAGTCTGGTTGTATAAGCAACTTTGGAATTATAAAAAATCTACATATTAAAAAACAGGAAAATGTTTTTAAGCCCATGTTTATTTTGTTTGTATATTATGCAATATATGATAAGCTAGCAAGAGTTCATAAAAGGTGCGGGAACACGAGGGGTCTTGGTTGGATACTTTGATCGCCGATTAGAGTCTTGTCTTGAGTTACAACAACTGGCACCGGCACACTCCAGTAAGTCGCTTTCCACCTTGTCGATAATCATCTGCGGAGCATGCAATTGAAAGGAAAATGATTCTGATTGGATGATGACGGTCTGTCTTGCTGACAATAAAATTATCTGAGACGATTATCAAACTTGATTGATATTATAAATCCTGTTGGCCACATGATAATCTTGTCATGGAATCATGGGCACACACGAGATTTTACTTAAGATTTGATTTGGAGACAAAAATCTCTAACCAAGACCGCTCCTGTGCCCGTACCTTTAGATGTAATAAAAGTCAGAATGGTACAAAGAGAATCAATCAACATTTTTAAAATTTGAATCCAATCTTATTAAACTTATATAAAAATTCTGACCTTATAAAATCTTTATAATATAAAATCAAACTTGGTGAGACTTGGTGAGACTTGGTGAGACTTGGTGAAATTAAATTCCAGAGTTGGTTATAACAAGTTCTCTAATTCACCTTTTACAACTTGATAATATCACAAATACTCCTTAAATATTACTGTTAGATGATAAAAAACAAAAAAAACACAAAATCACTAGATTAATAAAACAACAACGAACAAATGTGACCATAAAACAGTCCAGAGGATTGGTCAGTTGTCTTAATCCCATATTTGTCCATGTTAGAGGTCAGAGTTGAAAGGTTAATCTATATAAAGGTCAACGAGACCATGTTAATACTGTATTGTAATTGCACTGATGACATTTTACGTTAAATGTCGAAATATTTTCATATTTTTATT